CTAGTAGAGAATCTAGTACAATGAAAGAACTATGAGAGGGGAACAGATGATTGCTGTGGGACCCACGGGGTAAAGAAAACACATCTTACTGGTCAGAGAGAGATTAGTTGAGCGATGCCTGAGTGAGAGGCAGAATTTTCATCGTGAGAATGCAAAAGGCAGAGATCCAGGGTTCAAAGGTGATTCCATTTCCTAGACTAGCATGCATGAGTGGGAGCCACAGCCATGAAAGATGCAAAGGTTTGTGTGGGCATACTGAGCCTCACAGACAAGATAGTGCTGTGACCTAGAGATGTGGGCATTTGGATGAAAAGTTAAAGTATACCAGCCACAGAGCTGTTGCTGAAATGGGACTTCGGTCTTAGCAGCCACTGTATGCCATTAGTCCTAACTGGCGTTGATTGTAAGACATGCCTTATTTTACATGCTGGGAATGGAGGAAAGAAAACAAAATACTGCCAATTAATTTTAAGACACTACCAGTTACGAAATGTATCCTGACTTCACAGATCACAATAATGAAGAAATGTGCATCATGAAATCAGTGAATTGTGCTCATTATGTTGGCACAGAGAAAAGCTGAGAGAGGCAAACAAGAAAGAACTTGAGAATGAAAGTGGGATCAGAACAAAGACAAAAGGGAGAGGTCGGCTTGAAAAGGGGTTGGTTTGTGTTTTCTCTGCTGCAAAGAGAGAACTGAACAATGGCCCATAGAAGTTTAGAAGTTGAGACGCTAAAGCATTAAGCAAACTGGTATTAAATAATATCCATCTTGGCTCAGTGGTTAAGAACACTAGTTGTTCTTGCAGAAGACCTCCGGGTTCAAATCCCAGCACCCACATGGCAGCTAACAACTCTCCGTAACTCCAGTCTCAGGGGATCCAACAGCCTCTTCTGACCTCCACGGGCTTTGCACAATACTGGTGCACTTACCTACATGTAGGCAATACACACATACACATAAAATAAAAATAATAAATAAAATTAAAAAAATAATATCCAGGCTGGAGAGATGGCTCGGTGGTTAAAGAACGCTGGCTGTTCTTGCAGAAGACCAGGGTTCGAATCCCAGCATCCACATGGCAGCTAACAACCGCTCGTAACTCCAGTTCCAGGGGATCTGACAGCCTCTTCTGTCCTCGGTGGGCATTGCAGGACACAGGTGCACTTACCTACATGCAGGCAATACACGCATACACATAAAATAAATAAATATATATATATAAAATATATTTTTAAAAAAACCTACCTTGGTAAAAGAGAAGGCACGGTCATCTGCAGAAAGGATGGCAGTGGTAGCTTGGGCTTGAGGTGTCAAGGAAGTGAGGTGAACGAGGCGGGAAGGAATGCCCATCAGAAATGAAGGCCCAGTTCAGAGGATGGGTTTATAAGGAAGCCAGTTGGGCCTTTGCTCAGGAACACTTGGTACTCTGTGTGAAGGATGGGAATAAAAGTAGACAGTGCTCCCTGCAGGGTAGAAGATTGGCCAGACAGATACCTTAGAGCAGAAAAGTTCATCCATCTAATTTTTTTTTTTTGGACAAGTTTGATTTGTCATGAAGTTCAGGTAAGAAATGAAAGATAAGCCCAACAGTGACAGATAAGACAGATTTATTTTTAATTAGGGGAAGAGAGGCAGTGAGGGGATTAGAGATTTCAAAGAAGGTGAAGAACAAATGCTTTGGAAGTAAAGCAGATGAGTAGAAAGTTGACTGGAGAATTCAGAACTCACGGAGGTGGAATTTGAGGCAGTGTGTTTGAAGACGTGTGACCTCACTACCATGCAGATGGGACTCAAAAACCTCCCAGACTCCATTGATTTCAAGCACTGTCTTTGTTCTTAGAGGACAGGCCAGGTTTATCACCAGCTTTCCCCATATCCCCCTGAAGCACTGACAAGCCTGGAATTTGATGGCCACTGAGTGTCAGCATTTCTTCCCAAGTTCTCAACACTCTCAGGTCTTCTCAGTGCCAGTTTCCCTGCCTTTATCTGTAGTCTCACCTTTACAAATGCCATTCCCTGTTGTACAACTTCCTGCCCCTCCTCAGAACCTGGCTCAGACTGCTCTGTGAAATCTTTCCAGCTCCTCCCACAACAGAGAGCATATCACAGAACAGTCCACAAATCCTGTGTGTACTTGGGTGTGTCTCTGGTAGACTTTGAACTACTTGAAACCTGAAATTGCCTGGTTCTTTTCTTTACCCACAGTGCCTAGCACAGATTAGGTAATTCATATCTGCTTATTGTTGATTTTGTTTGTTTACTTGTTTTGTTTTTTGAGATGGGTCTCACTATGTAGCCCTGACTGACCTGGAATTCACATGTAGACCATCTGGCCTCAAACTCACAGGAGATCTGCCTGCTTCTGCCTCCAGAATGTTGGAATGAAAGGCATGCACCACCACACTAGGCTTGTTGGATTTTGAGTGAGTGAAGTGGTGAGTGACGTTTCAGATGGTGCTATGCATTCCAGCCACCCACTGTCCTGTAGAAGGTTGGTTCTGGTTTCTGAGTCTGAGATGGGGTCTGGCTGCCTTTTAATAAGCTCCAGGTGAAGCCCATGTGGCTGCCTGTAGCACTAACCCAAAGTTAGCCCAAGTAAACATCAAAGCCCATGAGAGGTATAGACATGGGGCTCTATGAGCATTCTTCAGAATGAGCATTGGTACCCTGAAAATGAGACCAGATGACTCAGGAGATGCTTCAACCATCGGTAACAGGAAGCCAGTGTGGACAGAGAGCAAAGAGAAGCCTGGGAGGATGGTGCTAAGTGGCTTGTGTTTTGGAAAAGAAAGGACAAGAAGCAAGGTAGCCAGCTGTGTGTCAGACTGAAGGGACGGTGTGCTATCCATACAGAGACCTGGTGAGAGGAAAGGACAGCAGGCGTCAGGTTTGGGGGGCTCTTGAAGGAGAGGGGCCTCTGGGGCATTTCACAGTGAGTGGTGTTTCTATCAGTGAAGACAGAAGTGGTAAGGGGCCAGGAGGCTGGTTTTTAGGAAGGAGACAACCCTGAAGAAATGGTGAGTAGTGGGACTTGATGAAGACTTGATGAAAACTGTCAGTCTCCAGGCTCAAAGCGTGCAAATCCTTGTTAAGTTCGTAGATGTCAGAAAAAGGAGCGCTGATGGTAGACATTCTATTCCCACCTACATTTTTATGGGTCTGATCATTCTAACAGTGGGTTTATTGGCAAGCCCAATTTTTAAGTACTGGTGAACAAAAGTAATACCCCATCCACAGAGGGAAACAGGTAGCTATCATCCCACCAAGTCCCTTCCAGCAAGCCTCCGTCACTGCTCTCAGCCCGAGTGTACTCTCCAGCTCTGTCTGCAAACTGGTACACACTTTGACAGGAATGTTTTAATTCTACAGTGGTGTTTTGCTTGTACACTATTCCACAGATTGTTTTCTCACTTAGGAATATGGTGTAAACATCCATTCAGGTCAATGGAGAGAGCTCTAACTTTGTTTCCTCCTAGGCATTTTTAAATAGCTGTGTATAAATATAGATGTCCCATAATTTGTTCTGCCATCCTTTTGTTAGTGGACAATTGGGTAATTTCCAGTTTCTGTTACTACAAACAATATGACCAGAAAAGAAAAGATCCTGTTATTACCAGTGCTTCAGTAACATGACCCCGTGACTTAATCAGTCGTACATCTCAAAAATAACGTTGAGTTTGCATACAGGTACATGTTGTGTGTTGAGTGCATTCCCCGTACCCACAGCCCTCCGTTTTCCCTTCTCCCCTCCCATCAGTCCTCTTGGCTCCCTGTTGACTCCTACTTTCAGGTGAGGCATAATTTTGTATCTGCCTAAAAATTTAAGAGCCACTATGAGAGTGAATACACTGTATTTGTTTTCTGAGCCTGACCTGGATCACTTAATAGGATTATCACCCAATTTTATCCATCAAAAGTCTTTTTTTTTCCTTAGCAGCATCTTTTACTGAAGCACAATAGTGTGTAGTTGGTCCTGAGCTGTCCTGTATTATTGGGACCCAAGTCTGCTTTGCTCACCAGGGAACCTTGCTTTTGTGATGGATGGCAATACCGACTGGCGACAGAGTCCTAGACTCTGGGACTTGTGCTTTCCTTTACCTCAAGCCATTTATTAAGAAATTCAGAAGGTTTGTATGTGTTACAAGGAACTGGCATTCACATACAAAGATTTAGGGTACAATTAGACAAGAAGCAGGACATACAGCTTTTTTAGCAGTCACCAGCCAGGGGCAGTATATAAAGCAGGATGCTTGAACTTTTACTCAAGATTACCAATGCCCATTTGGTAATTTATTGGCCACAATGTTTTCTTTCTTAGGGCTAAAAGCATAGTAAACTTTTAGCTTTTAGCCCAGGAGTAAACCTTTAACCCGGCCTAATTTCTCAACTAATAGCTGAGTTATTTGTTCAGGACAAGGAGATGGGCTAAGGGCTGTTGACCAAGATGCTTTCCCTCAGAGCAAGAAGCTTAAACTTTTGACCCAGCTGCATTTCTCTTGCTGGCCCTGCAGTATTCTGCAAGAAAGGGACATCAGCTGCTGTTTTCAGCACCCCTCCCTTTAGCAGAGAACGTAGCCTGGGCTTAAAAGTTTTAGGCTCATCTCGCCCTAGGGCACGCCATCCTGGTTTCCTACACTATATAACAGACACTGTCACATGACACTGTTAAATTAAAGGTAGAAGTCTATTCCTTCATTGGCCTCATTTCAGATGCTCAGTATGCATGCAGGAAGTAAGCTGCCCTATGGAACAGTGCAGAGGAAACAGTCTGTCCTACACAAAGTTTGCTATGCTGTCTTGTTACACCTTAAAGAAGACGTTTTAATGAGGGCATGTTTTAAAAAGTAAAAAGTGTGTTTTTATTGGTTGCCTCTGCAGTTACTTCAATGAGAATCAATATCCAGATGAAGCCAAGAGAGAAGAAATTGCAAATGCTTGCAATGCAGTCATTCAGAAGCCAGGTAAGGTGGCAAGCTCAGCACTGCTCAGGTGCAATGTCCAGTTATGTTCATGGCTAGGACACTCCATGTCCTAGTTGGGCTTAGGCTGGTGGCTCAGCTCAGCCTGCCTTCCCTCTACAGGTCCCTGTTCCATCCTCTCCTGGTAGTACTTCTGAGTCAAGCACACACGTGATGGAGCATTAACAGGGACTGACCCTCCATGAGATGTGTGGTCTTGGAAATAATGCTTTACTGTATAGATTGCTCTTTTTCCAAATTTTAGCATATAGAAATGGTGGAATAATTATGAAGTATGAAAATTGAAGCAAGTTTTATTAGTAAAAAGATTAGAGCCCATTTTTTCACTATTGTTATAAACATTGTGTGGTCTGTTACTTTGGGGGAAAAGCCTTTTGGAGTTGGATTTTGACTGCTTCCCACATTGGGATGAGTTCTGCCTAGCTAGGAGAAATGTGGTAATAACCATTTCAACTCTTGTTCCTGTGCAAGTCAACAACCACTTTCCCCCATCCTAGGTGTTTGAGTCCATGCACTCTAGAAATTTTGCCACAAGAAACCACTCTCACTTAAGATAATCCAGTTGGTTCCCATTTGGCCAGCAATTTTGATGGCTTAAAAACAGTATGTACTGTGTCAGTGTCCGTGCAATGGAACAGTCATTTAATCTCCCTTTTGAAGAAACCAGACTTCTAGCAGTGTCCACCCTACACACTCAGCTCCACCCCCAGATGAGAGGACTCTGTACCCTACTTTACACAAGCCTAAAGTCCCTGTTCAGGAATTTAAGCCCCCCATGGAAGACACTTTACCTGTATTAGTAAGACCTTGGACAAATATGTTTTCTGCTTTCTCTACCCATTGTGAATAGAAAGCTGCAAAACAAAACAAAAGGACAAGAGAGGAGGGGACAGTTACAGTAGGTCCTTCCAGGCCAGCATGGTGCTCTCCGTAAGAAATTACCTTTGATGGCCAAGAAGACAGTAAATCATTTCTGAAATATAACCTGAGTGGTGCTGGGTATACCAGCACAGTTACAGTAGTGGTTGGTTACGGTGGCCTTTAACCTTCAAGGAACATGGGTCATTTCCTCTGTCTTAAGTCATCGGGAAAGTAATGTAAAAAAATTTCTGCTATCTGGATACTTCATCAAGAACATCTTATTTGAATACTCTGAATGATGCTCACTAAATGACTCCTCCATGGACCACCAATGGAAACCGTGATTTGATCTGGTGTGCTCATCAATGGACTTTGGACTTTTTTAGTACTGCGTATGACGTTCTGAATTGAAGCTTACCTTGGTTTATTCATACAATGATTGAGTGCTCATGTACTAACCAATGCTAAAAAAAAATCCACCATATTTGTTATTTTGGTGATAAATACAATCAAAAGCAACTTTTAACTAAGAAAAGCATTATTTCCTAAGAGCAGTTCATTCTTGGATCCAAGCTACAGATTATCTGAATTTTATTGTATGCGTTTTCCCAGGCAAAAAGCTGTCTGACCTGGAGCGAGTTACCTCCCTGAAAGTGTATAATTGGTTTGCCAATAGACGGAAGGAGATCAAGAGGAGAGCCAATATCGGTAATGTATCAGAGAGACTGCTTTCTCCTAGGAGAAAGTTAAAAATGTGATTGAGAGTGACAGTTTATGAACTGCAGGTATAATTATCCTAACTCTTGAGCCTGACAAGAATCACCGTTGTTTTTCTTCCCTGCTTTTACTAGCCCATGGTTAGTATTACAGTAATGACGTTGTTATTATAAAGTTCGTTATTCTTAATGTTCTAGGCTGTGGAATTAGCCCTTGAGCAGTGGTATGCTGTGGAATTAGCCCTGAGCAGTGGAGTGCTCCTGTGCCTATTATTAAAGATACTCATGGGGTCTGGAGAGAATCATGATGTCTCCAAAATTGTCAGTTATTGCTGGGGCTATGACTCAGATATTGAGGAACATCTGATCAATAGAAAGTGACTCAGACAAGGAACATGGCCAGAAAAAAAAAAAACAAACAAAAAACAGCGATACAGCGTGTTTAAGAAGTCTAATTTTGGATTTAGTCATTTCACAATGTATAAATTTCTTGATGCATTGTTTGAATATCATAGACGTAAACAATTTACATTTGCATTTGTCAATTATACCTTAATAAAGTTGGAGGAGGGAAGAAAATGTGAAAGTACCCCAGGGAAAAGTATGCATTTAACCGAAAAGGGAAGATTTCCCCTGTTCACAGCTGTAAAAAAGCAGGAGATTCGAGTTGAGGAGTTTGAAGTGAGGGTTAGTTTTGAGCTTCCATAGCTGATTTCTAGGGGTGCAGATCAGCAGTAGAAAGGGCCTGGCCTTGATCCCTTGGATCCCTAGCACCACAAGAAATAAAAATGCATTTTATTTATAAATATATTTCTTATTCATCATTCAATATTCAGATGTTCTATATAGCCTCAACGGGAAAGCTGTTTATTGAGTAAGTCTTATGAAGGACCTCGCAGTAAAGGTGAATAGTGTAATGTGCTTAGTAGTCGGAACTCGACCCTGATCTGTGGAGTTAAATTTCCTCTATTCTCAGTTTCACAGAAAAAAAAAGTCAAGTAATATAAGTTCTTGCTTAATTACATTCTACTTTCCTCAACATAGACATTGTGTTGCAGCTGTTATGCTAAGCCAGCAGATAATTTAGGGATCCATTTGCTTTTTTCGAAGAAGCAGCAATCCTGGAGAGTCATGGGATAGACGTACAGAGTCCTGGGGGCCATTCCAACAGTGACGACGTGGATGGCAACGACTACTCAGAGCAGGTGAGCAGCAGGCCGAGGTTCCTTGTTACTGAGCAGTGGGGCAGGCTGGCAGCTCAGGCCCGTGGGTGTGGTGTATGGGTGCTGGGGGAGCGAGTGCTCAGGGTCCCTCCACTCTGCTGTTGTGTCTAGTCAGATTTTTATGTAATTTGAAAGGAATGTGGTAAGATTCAGTTGTCCTGTTGAATTTGTGAGTAATCCTATTCACCCACATGGATTTGTTGTCATACAACAGGACACTTGGCAAGTACGCAATGGGGAGGAGGAGGAGGGAAGAAGTTCAGAGGGAGGCAGAGAAGCAGAGAAGGTAGAAGAAGAGAGGAGGATCTGACCAAACAAGCAGGTTCTGCCATTCACCACACACACTCAGTGTTTGAGAAGTACTAGGGGCACGTGGGCAGCTGTGACCGTACCCAAACATGTTCGGATGCAGGGTACCACAGAAGGCTCCACCCACTGCAGCCCAGAGGTGTGGGCTGCTTCACCAGAGTCTCTGGCACATTGGCACGCGTCTTCTCATGACTGCATATCTGCATGCCTTCTCATCTTCTCCCGTGTGTCTGCACTGCTTGGGGAAAATGTATTTAATTGTAGCCACTGCATGGACTGGTTAAGTAACTACAGTTCTGGGAGTTTTTTCCCCACATACATGTTGACAAATTTTATTAAAATTCTTTATAGGATTTAAGCTTCATTTCCATTTAGAAATATAGTCCCTTTCCTAGACCCCTACAAGAAAGCGTTTGCTCTTTCTCCTGGCCATTCTCCTTGCCCTCCGCCAGCTCACACATACGCACAGGCCCTGCTTTCCCTCTGCTCAGTTGCTTAGTGCCTCCATGTGCCTAAATACTCCAAAAGTGTGTGTGATTCTTTCAAATTCCTTCTTAAATCCCAAAGACTAATCTCTAAAAATCAGAGCAAAACAGTAGCACCCATGTATCCCAAGAATTACCTTGTTTCCTCCAACCACGTGTTTACATCATAGCGTCCCATCCCCCACCCCCGTTTACTCAAGAAAATGCTCTGTTTCCTTCTAGTTGGAAACACTCCTGTTATTTTTCAGTTGATGCATAGGGATGGATCGTGTCTGCCTTTTGTACACATGGCCCGAGGATAGTACCTCCCATGCTTTTTTCCCCAAGGGTCTTACCCTGTCTAAATTTCCTAGATACAGAGAAATGTGCCCCTAATCTTCAGTGCCCAGTATGCATCCTGCAAGGACAATTTCCTTTTGGTTTGGTTTGGTTTGGTTTTTTTCAGACAGTTTCACTGTAGAGCTCTGGGAGGCCCAGAACTTGGAGTCCTCCTCAACCTCTGGAGTGCTGCTTGGATTTGCACCATGCCCACCACGCCTGTCCAACAGCTTTACTGTTTGCTGTGTGGAGCTTGGAGGGAGGAGAGCTTCACACCAACTCTTAAGTAGAACACTGGCCCCTTCACACAGCTGCCTCCAGCCCAAGGTGCCATCCTTTCTCCCAGGACCATTTCAAGAAGAGGCGCCTCTGTCTTGCCATGTCTGAGATTTTTTCTTTTGTGCCTCCCTTGTCTGTAAGGTGTTGGTGCCTGTAGTGTAAATTTTCTCTAGTTTTCTCAGTTCAGTAGAGAAATGTCATGGATGGTTTCCAGCAGTGATCAGAATGTAATAGCTTTGACCTTCAGTGATTAATGCTGTATTTGTTGCAAACAGAAAGACCAAAACGAAGAGTTTATTTTAAAACACCCAGGTCTGATCACCATCAACTTATTCTTTTAAAAAAAATAGAATGACTAAACTCTCAGTGAGAGAAAGAAAAAAGCTTTCTTTTTTTTTTTTTTTTAATTTGTTGACTCATAAAAATGTTTGGAGTCTCTGGATTTGTGTCCGTTCAGTGTCTACTTAAATACAGTTCATCTCCACCATGAGATGTGCCCGGCCATTTCTGCAGATGCCCTGCCGCCCTGCCCCTGCATGCCCTTCTGTGAGCTTCAGAATTGAAAATTCAGTCCGTGAATAACATTTGTTCCTTATTTCTACACATCTAGGATGACAGCACGAGCCATAGTGACCACCAAGACCCCATCTCGTTAGCTGTGGAGATGGCAGCCGTCAACCACACTATCTTGGCCTTGGCCCGACAGGGAGCCAACGAAATCAAGACAGAGGCCCTGGACGATGACTGATGAGGGAGGGTTAAACACACGATATCTTAGTGTAGACGTAGCACCTTAGCAGACTTTCCTCGGTCCTTAACATGTGTTCTTACAGTATAACTTGCAGTTTCTTGTATGTCAGGTAGCCGTTAGGGTCTTGTTCTGTGAAGATGGCATGGTGCCCTCAGCCTTTGCATATACTCTCTCAGTATTAAAATCCCAGTAAATAATAACCAATCGACCAAACAAACTTCCCTCTCCCAGCCCCCAAGGCTAGAAAATCTTGCTGCTCCATCTTAGCATTCCAAGAAAGTGCTTCCAGGTGTTTAGATAACCCTCGGTTCTCAAATATTAGCTCTGTGTAAAACCTTGGGTACCTTTAGATTCATGTAACACTAGTCTGTACCCTGTTCTCCTGCCCCAAGACTGACAGGATGCAAGCTGAGGTAGTAGCCCAGGACTAACAGACACCATGCAGGGAACATCCACAGAGTGATAGGAACACCAGAGCCCCACCTCAGCGTGAGAGTCACTGATTCAGCTGCAATAAGCCGTGCCTCATAGTCACACTGTGGCTAGACTCTACTTCTTGGGTGCTGAGCTAAGAGTGTCATTGGAATCCCGACCTCAGATCTTGGTTGATGTTGAACGGCCTGACACAGACATCTTTCCTCTCATAAGCTGTGTGACTTAGTAGATAAAATACTGCCTTCTGCCTTTGGGACCACAGTTCTAAAACAGAAAGATAAAAAACAAAGTTCCAGAAAGCAAAACCCAGCTTGAGAGTATTAGAGAGAGGCATGAGCTGATGGCTGGATGCTGAGTCCAGTCCCAGAGCCGTGTACATTCCACAGCACAGCTCCCAGGGCCTGCCTGGAAGAGTGCGGCAGAGCCTGGAAGCTGCCCTCCTGTCTCCCCTTTCCCTGCTACCAAAAACGTCTTTGTCAGGGGAGGTCAGACTGAGTGAGCAGCAGTCTTTGTACCCATTGCCTGGAGCCCTCTCAGAGCTGATGGGACTCTAGGGAATTTGACTGACTCTCACAGATGCAGATCTTTGCCTAACTAGGGGCAGAAAAAGCAGGGGACATTCACCACTTAAGTCGTGAGTGTGCGAGACACAGCGGGATGTGACTGCTCTGTTCTCTTTCCTCTGTCCTTGTGGAAGTGTGAAAGCTATATTGCTACAGGCAATTTATTTAATAATTGGAAGCCATATTGATAATGGATGTGGTAATATTTGTAAAGTTTAATCTACTTTAAGCGGCAGTAACTAATGGAATTTTTTTCCTTGATCACATATGTAGCACTTTTGTTACTTTTTAAAGATATTTATATTTGATAAATCTTTTTTTCATTTTGAAAACTCAAAATACCAAACAGTGAACTTGCGTTTTAAAGTCACCCTGTGATCACCTTGTCATCTGGTAGCAAAATGATGACTATTCATGCGTCAGAGAGAATAACATCTGCTAGTCTTGTGTGACAGTGATCTCCTGGCAGCCTGATGCAGTGATGCACTGTCGCTGTGGGTAAGAGGAAGCAGCCTCCACTGTAGTGGCATGGTGTGCATCTGAAAGAGGCACGCAGCTGAGTGTTTTCTGCCTTGTGCCATCTCTCCTTTGTCTAACGAAGCCTTGTTTGAAGGGGAATGGGGAGTGGGCCGTTAAGCAAGGCTTCTGTCTTTCTGTCCATTACCTGAACCAGTTTCTAAGATGGAGAGTGGGTGCTCTCTCCTCACCCATTTACCTCTCCCTCCTCACCAAATGTGCTCAGCCTCACAACTGTGGAGAGAGAGGCACATAGTCCTTCCTCATTTCCCTCTCCCATTGGCTAGATACTGAGCGTCTATAGTGTTTGGCTGGTCTCACTGGGGCACAGTCCGACTGGATCATCCCCTTAGCTCTAAGTCCTGTTCACCGGAATGTGAGGAGGAGTCTTTGGAGGCATGAGGATATCACTTCCCCTACATCTGTGACTTCGAAGAGCTCTAGGCAGGACCTGCCGTCTCCTGTCTGTGGATTTCAAGGGGAATGTGTGCATTTCCCCCACTCCCATGTACTGAAGCAAAACGGGGCGGTCTTCTCTTTCTGTGTGACTTAAGCCCGCAGATTCAAGAGTAGCATTTCTCATTCTCAGGAACGAGCCCCCGCCCCCACCTCATCACCTTTCATGGTTGGACTTTTTATTTCAATTAGAAGATTGTGTTGTCCTTTATTTTGCTTAGAGGAAATCTAACCTACCATGGCTTTCCATTTGGGTGGACTTTTGTCTGCTGCTTCTCAGTTGAATCAGAAAGAACAAGGAGAGGGGAAAACACATTTTCTGAAGAGCCACATCCATGATTCACTGTGAGGAGGAGATTGTTATGACTGATAGCTTCATGGTGGTATTCTTGTTCTTGCTCGCCTTTTTAAAGGAATGGACTCCAACCGTTTCTAAAGAAATCCAGTGGCTGCCACAGAAGAGCTAAAACATTCCCTTGTCTTAAGACCTTTAAGAAAGAAACGCGCATCAGAGAATACCAATCCACACCCCGTGCAGGCGATGCCAGCCTTGAGTGGCAGTGTGGTAGCCCTGCAAGAGCCAAGCTGCCACCAAGCCTGTGCCACCAAGGCCTGTGCTGTGCTGAGCTTGGCGGGAGGAAGGCCTATTGCTGGAGAAGCTGCCACGTGCCCTTCAGACCCACAGCCTTACTCGGAGTCTGTGCTGTGTCACCAACAGTAAGAATTTGTTTCTTTGGGCCAAGATTTAAATCTCCCAGCAGTTTTCTGCTGGTCACCTGTTCTCATGTCCTGACCACCTCAGTTCTTGTAATGACCACAGAGCGGTCACATGCGATTGCTCCTGCCTTTGGGTGATAAATCGTACCTTAAACTTTTTCAGGTTTGGGGTACGGTATTAAAGCAGAAACCTTAAAATGTTCCCATGCCGAAAGGAAAAGCGCTGGGCTCCTAGAAACCCACGTTCTTTGTTCCTACTTGCCTGTCTGCTCGCACCTCCTCCTGTGTTTCTTGAATCCTGGGAGAGCTCAGAGAGCTCCCTCAGGGGCTGTGCCTTTCTGACCAAGGAAGACCTTGAAAGGGCGGGGAGGGAGCAGGCATTGATACAGTTTGCTGTTTTAAATGCTGTAATTGAATTACTGTTGCTGGTTAGATAAGGTCAGCTTCCCAGCCTTCTAATACCTTAAGGGGAGACCTGTTAAAGATGGTCCCATCATAGATTTCTGCCTGTCTGAGGACAGTTGCAGCCAGCAGTGGAGGATGACCGGGAAAGCCACAGTGTACTGTGACCTGAGACTGTGGCGTGCTCTCAGCACCTAGGAGATGGCTGAATTCACTGCAGCTTCATTGTGTTAACAAATCATTCCATAAAGACAGGAATGTTTCCTCAGGAGGTGGGACCCTGGCGTAGGAAGACAGACAGCCCCTTGGCACCTTTCACCCCAGCTCAGTAGACGCGACCCCCTACTAGAAAGATGGAGTTGAGTTAGAAGCCTGTTCTTGCTACAGTATGCAAATTTAGAACACTAGTTCCCAGAAGGTGTTACCTTCCAACCACATCCATGTTTGTAGGTCCAGATGTCTGGGTTTATTTTCCCCTCAAAGGGAGTAGCTGGTGAAGAGCTCTGACACATTTGTCTCAGTTCTCTTTGGCCTGTCTCTGGAAACACTGCTTTAGAAACTCCCTCCTAGACCAGTCGTCAGACACCAACGGTAACAGACTCCGTTCCCTGGGTTCTCCCCTCACTTTCTTCCCATCCCTGGATGGCTCCTCTTCCATTTTTGTGTTCTACCATAGCGTCTTTGTCTTGAGTTGACTTTGTTGGAATTTTTCTCTCCTCTGGCAAGAGGCATAGCAGGTGGATTTGGTCCTTCTCTGAACACAGACTCCTTCCTATGATCACCAGCTCAAACGCTTGTATTCCAAGCCTGTTAGCTCCATCCATACAGTGAGAATAATCCCTTTTCCACACATGTCCACCGTGGCCCATCCTAAAACTGTGGATTCAAGTCCTTGCTCTTTAATCTCAAGAAGGATGTGTGGAGAAGCAGGATGCCCACCCAGCTCAGCTCTGCCTTTTAGTTTTTATTTTGATCTGTTGTTCAGAGAACAACCAGAATGTTTTTCTCCTGTGAGCCTCAACAAATTCTTTGGCAATAATTTTTCTTGTGGTTGGTGGTCTCTGCTCAGTAGCTGTCTGCCTACATGGTCTAGTTCGCACCACTTTCACGTGCACTTGGTGTCTATGTCAGTCTGTGATTTCAGTCCTAAGCCAGGGTGGTGATGAACTTCGTCATTTTCTTGTTGTGAATATAGTAATGTTTTACTACTGTATTTATTGGGGCTGTACCAAGACCAGCCAAATCCATTTATAGCTTTACTGAGCCGGATTTATTTAAGATTTCCCAAGTGAAAGTCGGACACATTGACCAGCTCTGCTGGTCGTATCTTTGGGTGGGAGTGGGTTGGGGGATTGCACTGGGGTGGGGTGGGAATTACATATTCATAGCATTCCTTTTCTGTGTGCGCTTTTTAAATTGCAAGTGTGTTTACTCAGGACTTGGCCATCAGTTGTTAGCCATATTGAGTTTGGCAAACTGAGCTGCAGCTCTGAAAACCCTGTTGGTGTGTGACTTAGAGGAACACCGAACACCTGTGTTATCACTGTGAAGGTGTGCAGTCTGGCAGGAGGCGATGAATGGCCTGAGGATCTCATGGTAGTGTGGTGTCAGCAGCGGCCTCTCCTGTGTGGTCTGCTTCATTTCACACTCAGTTTCAAGATGACCATGGCTTAAGAAGAGACCCCTTGTTCTTACAAGAGAGCTAGTCCATTATGGCAGTGGGAAGGGCTTTTCAGACACATCACACCAGGTGTTTGGGTCAGTGTTCCTCAGATTGTTAGAGAATATGTTCCAAAAGGCTTTTCTTTTTTTTCTTTTTTTTTTTTCTTTTTTTTCGGTCTTTTTGAGACAGGGTCTCCCTGTAGCCCCAGCTGTCCTGGAACTCACTATGTAGACCAGGCTGGCCTTGAACTCACAGAGATCCGCCTGCCTCTGCCTCCCAAGTGCTGGGCCTACAGGCATGCACCACCACGCCCGGCTCAAAAGGCTTTTCCTAAAGCCATTTATTTTTCTGCTGAGAGTGAGGAGCTATTGTCCACACCAGTGGACAGGGTTGATGGATGCTCTGTAATGAGGCTCTGTGTATATTTATGGTCCTGTAAATGCCCAAGTCTGTAAATTGAGACTTTTCTATCTTTTTTTTCATACTTGCATGGTGGGGATGGGAAATCACAGCAAAAAGAAGCTCGCATCCTGAGAGGCCCAGACTCCCACAGCACTATTTCTTTTGTATCCTAGAGAGGACCAGACAGAGGGAGGGAAGATGACCGCAGCCCACCGTGCATCTCACCGACATGCCAATTGCCTTGGGACTCTAGCTGTGCATGTCCCTAAGCTTTGTTATCATTCATGACATTCAGGCAGAACTAGATCTGGTTGGTTCTCTTCCAGGGGGACAGGAATTTTTCAGCAGGAGCTTCCCAAGCACATCCCCACCCTTCACCTCAGCAGTCCCTACGTATTGACTAGCAGGACAGGACAGCTAGGGGCGTTTTGGATGTCCTCAGCTGACATCCTCTTTCTGACTCCATACAGCAGGTTGGGTTGCCCTGGCCTGTACCCCAGGCCCCACACTGTGAGTACTCTGCGCTGGAGCCACCAGTATACCCCGTGTGGGGCAGCTCAGTGCCCTGCTTAGAAATCCTGGGAGGCCAGCTCCCCTGACTCCATGCTCGTCTCTCTCTTTTAAATAAGACTGGCTCTGCACAGCCATAATTAACTCACAAATTCATGATGGTGTGCTGTGACCAAATGAAGGTTTAGCTGAATCTTTTCAAATTGTAACCATGGTAATTGAGGGGGGGGTGGTGTAGAATGAATATATAAAAATATAATGGCGATTGTTCCGAATGACTGAGTGTCCTCCTGACATGTAATTAGCTGTTTTAGCAGGATGTGGATTGGCATGGTCATAATTAAGAGGATTTCTATCCTTTATGTGATTGAAAATAGCAGAGCTCCGATCCCTTGTTCCCTTTTAGCACTAATGCTCCCAAGAACATTTGGAACAGCAGCTCGGTAAACTAAAATAATGACATAGTATTCGTGTTCCACCAAAGTGAGAGAATTTGGAGTTATTTCAGGTCCAAAATGGAAGGCTTTGATTGTTGCTTGCATCTGACTTCTAAAATCTTTGAAACCTTTCTCACGTTGGCCAACCTACTCTGTTGGCCAGGAACCAGTTAAAACTCCAAACTGAGGCAGCCTCTGACAAACTCCTGATCCCCGGCCACTCCCTAGCAACTGGACCCTCACCTGGCGACACCTGCTGCTCACCAAGCTTCCTGGGATTCTCGAGCTTTTCCTTGGATTCTCTATTTCCACTGCTGTGACCGTCAGAAAATATTCACCAAATGAAAGTTTACAAAGAGTTGAATAGTGTTTTCCTCGTGGAACCTTAAGATCCAAAACAGGCAACTTGAGAGGCTCATGTGTAAGTGAACTTCACACAGGACTGAGTGCAACAGGGCACTGGGAGCAGGACACACGTATGTGTGTGTCCCTGGCTCTGCTCTGGTCACGCTTGCTTAGCCATTGCCAACCCCGTCAGGCACCTTCTAGTATGTCCCTGCTTAGCCCCCGGCCCTCTGAAGCCATGTTCTCTGTCTCTTGCTTTCCTTCTTCTCTTCATGCACCTGTGCCTTCAGGCGTCGTGTGGTCTTCACACCAACCATGCCCAACTCTGTGCGTCCTGAGGTATCACGACGATAGGAACTGCAGTCTCTTGCTGGCCTTTCTGGAGCTTGTCCTCGGTTTTGTTTGGCCGTTGCTCGTCTTGATTCAGTTACAGGATCTGAAGCCAGCCCACAGGAATGCCTGCAGCTGCCAGCGAAGTGGCCTTTATGCGCTCTTCCCTGCTGGTGCGGCTGGAGTGTCATGTGAGGTTAACTTGAACCCATGAGCCCTGTGCTTTTTCAGGCTGGCTTGGTTAGTAGCCACGGGTCTGTGACTCTTTGCCCTTATTACAGACCTGCCCCCATTAACCTAGAACACAAACGTGGCTGAGGTCTCATAGGAGTACCGAGGTGGAATACTTGGTACTTGGTCTGTAAAACCCTCTCTCCTTAGCACACCCACACACAGTGCACAGAAAGGTTTTATTCCTGGGAATGCTTCCATTTGATTCTTCCAAATGCCTTGGGTGAAGTGCACAGCAGGTGTCTGCTTCCTGAAGGAGGGAGGTCCAGTGAGGAGGGCCAGTGCTTCTCTGAGAGCCTACTCTGCCCCTCCCTACCTGCCCATAGGCCATAGGGGCAGTCTTTGAGACCTGTCAGTCCTGATGCTGGTGGTGGATTTATAACCCTAGAGTGTGGCATCCCTTGAATTATTTTCCCAGCTGCTGAAAGGTTGCCTTTCCCCTTCCCATTCAATTCTGAGAACTTACTAGTTGAGCTAATTTTGTGATTTATGAGACACGAGCTGCCCAGCAGCAGAACATCTTGACTATCTACAAGCATTAAAGGAAACAGACTTGGCACTGCAGCTAGAACCCCTTAATGTCATCTGCTGATCCAAGTACCAGGTGTGCAGACAGGAGCGTTTCCAGATGTTCCAGGAGGCCCTCTGCCCTGGGTAGATATTCCTGTACCGTCGGCAGATGCCAACCCCTTTGGAAAAAAAAAATAGCTCACTAGAATCAGTGACAGTTACCCATAAAATACCTTTGCCGTTGTTTGGAAGAAAACCAGCAGTAAGGTAAGAACCTTGAGGGATCTGAGGGTGCTGGGATTTTAGTTTTTCATCATGCACCACCGAAGTCACTGCCCACCTGCTTGCTGTTCCTGGGGGGCAGCACTGGGTCATCCCGGTGCGACAGGCACGCCGGCATTGCCATCTCCTCTGTCACTGAATTCTCAGGCACTGTGCCAGCTGTAGGGAGCCACCAGACCCCGCAGCCCTCTCTGGGCTTTTCTCCTCCAGCAGAGCCTGTGCCGTTGAGCTGCTATAACCTGTTACTAGTAATGAGCATCCTGCTTGACTTTGTGAGTGTTTGTGCTAAGCCCTCCCCTGCATCCTGCTGCCCCCTCACCACAGCCCCAGGGAGGTAGGCACATTGTGGAGATCAGAGGTCCTAGTGTCGCCCCGCCTGCCCTCCCAGGCTCCTCATGAGGTTACCTCATCCATAAGTAGCAGTTACTTGGAGATATCCAGATTGAGACCTAGGAGAAGAACTTTCTAGTATCCAGAATCCAGGAAAGGGGCAAGCTGCCTCCGGGTAGACACTGCTCCCTGACCACTGTGGTTCATGTGGAGGTTTAGTGACAGTTGGTCAGAGACACCAAACCAGCTGACCTGCTGTGTCCTCTCCCCACCCTCTAACCCTTTTTTCTCACAAAATTTAAGTTCTCTGGGGTTAATTTGATCACTGTCCCACTTCTCTGATCTCTTTCATGAGTCTCCTTGAAACCCAAGAAAAGCACCCCAAGAACCAGGCCACAGCTGTGGGGCGTTCTCCACAGAGACTTTGCCAGGTCTGCTCCTTCTGGTTGTTTCTGTGATGCTACCTTAGCTGGCTTATGGGGTCCCTATCACCTGTTCTTCATCCTGCCCCCTTCCCAAACACCTTGATTTGGAGAGAAAGGATTTGTGTGCCTTTCATTTGTATGCTAAGCAAGATTTTGCATCTCTGGAAATGGGAAGGAAAGGTGGGGCAGGGCTGCTCACAGCTCGGGCTCCTAACAGGCGGGTTCCCCAGGGACTTGGGTATCAAAATTTGTTCCTCCCTCTAGGACTTAAGCTGCCCAGCACGTTCAGCTCGCCTCAGTTTCCAGGCTTCCTGAACCTGGGAGGGCCTTCTTTCCATTTCCTTGTTCACTGAGGCTACTAAACTGGAAAACAAAATGGCATTAGTGGCCTATTAATGCAAACAGCAGCCGCTCTGGTGACGGCTCTCCTGAGGCCCATGGGGAGGTGCACATTGAGTCTGTGTGCTGAGCGGGGGTTGGGGGGGTCATACCATGTGACTACTTTCAGAAAGCACTGCCTCTAGCATTTATCTTGATGCCCCCATTGATGAGAGTGAAATTAGAAGCCCTCACCGGTGGCTCATCTCTGAAAATGGGCACCAGGAAAACAAAACCAAAGTTCTTGAGAACGTGGGTGGCGCCGTCTCCTCACTGCTCCTTGATTGTGCCATGACACCAGTGTGAAGGCCCCTCTTTCCCTAGTGGCTTCCTCGCTAGTGGCCTCTGCTGGCCCCTGTGCCATCACTGGTCACTGGCGACGAGGCAGGACAGTCTCTACCAGAAGATGCCAAGAGCTTGGTGGTGGCCGCCCCAGCAAACCCTTCTCTGGTCTCCCCAGGCCCCTCCATAGCCATGATCATGTTGGGTCTCAGTACCTTCCAAGATAAAACTCTTATTTCTGTTCAAGTGCCTAAGCAAGTTACAGACCTCTGGAACCTGCCCGAGTCACCCTGCACCCTGTCCTTCCCACCCTGCACCTGCCCTTGGAGCCGACATCTCATGGCCGCCACTCTCCAGTGTCCATGCCATTCTGCAGGCAGAATGGTTACACGGGGAGAGGGCTCTTCACGGCCACAGCAGGCTGCTTCGTCACTGCCTCCCCTGTTCCTTTTGTTGATGTGGTTATGTTGGTTATTGGGAGTTTTAGGAGTCTGCTTAGCTAGACCTCAGTGGGCACCAAGTGAAGGAACAAATCCAGCCTCGGAGCAGAATTCAGTCTCTGCGTCAGCACTTGGGGAGTGTGGCCAGCTCCGAGAGGGTAAGCAGGCAGAATTGTGGCTGATGTGTGATGATGCTGAGCCCCCTTACTGCAGTGAGCACCTGAGAGCTGGCCCCATCCATTCCGCCCAGATCCCAGGGAGCCAGGAGCCAAGGGTCATCACCGACTAACAGTGCTGTAGCAAGAGCCAACTCTGAAAATGGGTGTGAGACTGTTTATTTGATTCTTTTTTAAAAAGTACTGTAATCTGACCTAGATCCAGGGCCTTTATTTACATGGGGTATAGGACAGATTATTTTGTGGCTGTGCTGTGTTCAGACCGCATCACTAAGTGTAAGTAGCACACAGATGGTTTGGTGGAGTGGGTGCATTAGAAGGTGTTGCAAAATGGAACAATCCATAGCAGGCACTTTATTTTCATTAGTAAGCCAGGACTTTTGTTCAGACAAAGTAACATAAACACCAGGCATTCCCATATGACACGTGTGGACAAGTTTGCCAGTGAAATTCTGCCTCAGAGAAGGGAAGGTAGGGGAGTGACGGTAGGGAGGAGAATGGGGTGTGTGCACCATGCTGCCCCCTGGGGAATGTCCTCACAGGTCTACCAAGTGCTTGTCAGTGTAACCCATGAGTGTGAGCTGAGTGCGTGAGCTAGGGAGGCCGGCACTGAGTCGGGAGAGGCAGCAAGAGGGCCCGGGTTGGTGGCCCTTGACTGGGAACGAAAGCGCTGAGGAGTGACGTCCACTTGGTCAGTGAGCAGCTTGTTGTGTGGGTCACTGTGGGGTTGGGAACAAGCTGGCATGGGCAACCTGGGGGTGCAGAACTGGTTTAAGTCATGATTTGACCAGGGACCGGGGACCTTGGGGTTGCCTGAAGGTATTTAGCATCCACCAGTCTTGTGTCTAAGATAAGCAGTGTGGGATCCTGTCAGACGAGTGGTGGGGTTGGGCAGAGTGCCCCCCTCCACCTTGGCCATTGTGTGTCATAGTCTTTGTATTTCCCTCTGGTCTCCTGGTCTTTGTTCCCATCTTGTGCGACATATGTCCCTGAGGGCAAGTCACACCTGTGTCTGAGTCTGCTGTAAGGTGTTCAGTCTACCTCACGGAGTCATCATGGTAAGCTCTGTCCACACGGAATCTTCCTTACATGCCACACACACTGGAATGTATACCGCCCCACCCCCATAACCTCCTGACCCCATCTCTCCTGTAATCACCAGACTTCTAGTGCAAATTGGATGCTGCTTTAAATGTGAAAAAATTGTTCAAAAGCTATAAAAACCTGAATGAAAGCTAAAGCTGAATTTATAAGCCTTGTTGCATATGAGCCAAAAGTGCAAAAAGCTCTATATAATGAACTAACCTGCCACTCGTATAAATATAAATATATATAAATATATTAAAATCAGACTGTTCTACAAAATTGTGTATTTGTATTTTTGTGTACGTACAATTTTCTGCTAAGCAGAAGGAGGGTGTAGTATAGGACGCTGTGAGAAGAGATTTGGTTTAACCCGATTTCTTTGTTACTTATTTTTGTTAACATCAGATGCCTGTCTTGTCTTCTCTGTGTTTGACACTGGAAAGCTACAGTATCGCTCTTCCTTAGGCCAGAGTCCATGACAATAAACCTGGGGCTTAGAGAGGCATCTTGGCCGCCCAACAGAGAGGTGAGTAGGGCTTAGCTCCCATCCTGCCCCAGGATAGAACCCCTGGGGTCCTGAGGTGGCACTGAGGGACAGAAATGGCTTGTGCACATAAGGCCAGGCATGGCATTCTGACTTGCCTCTGGGAAACAAAACTACCTTCTAGAAACCAACTTCCCAAACAAGGTCATCAGATACTCATACAGACTCCCTGTCCACCAAGGAGACACAGGTCTCAGGCCAGGAACAGGACCTCCACTTCTGTCCGGTGGTTCTTCTTGATGCAGTGCCCACCTCCTGGCTGTCGCTGGGCTGTCCCCTCTCAGGAGGCTCCTGCCTTTTCGGATGGGGTTACCAAATGCATCCCCTCCCGGGGCTGCTCATGCTTCGTCACCAGACCTCCAGCCCCTTACCTGGAGTATCTCAGAACCCACTTTGCCGGTGCTAAACATGAGAGGGGTTGGGTTAAAGTGGCCACCAGTAATGGCCAGAACCAACCTAGAAGCCAGGCCAAGACGAGCTTGGGTGCCCACCGCTGCCTGCCCCCTCTCAGCCCCATCCTGGCCATCAGGGGGAAGCCTACTCTAGGGAGAGCGATACTGCACCTTCCCTTTAGGACTCAGATTATAACAATGTGTAATGACTGTAGCAAGAAGCCCTTGTTTCTGGATGTAAATGGTCAAAGAAACAAGTACTCTATTGTATTGATTAAAATAGTTCCAATGAGTCCTGTATCATTGTATCTCCTATTCTGGATTAGTGCCTTTTGGACAGTAGACTGTTCTGTAATTAAAATGTAGTATACTGCTTTTTGTACAGTTTTGTTCTAATAAAACTTTTTTTTAATTTGTGTTTATTTTAGTATTGTACCTATTAGAGAATAAAATGTATAACTGAACAAAGGCTGACTGGGACTTCTTTGGATCCGCATGTGTATTGGGGGTGCCTGGCACTGCTAAAGGGGCTCAGCAGCTTCTGTTCTCTGCACCAGTCCCTTATCTTTCTTCAGTGCTGGGGAGCAAACCTAGGGCCCCTCACATGCAAAGCAAGTGCCCTGTCCCAGCCCTGCCCTTCAAAGGAACCTGGGGAGCTGGGCGGCCTGCGATCCCAGCACTAAAGCTCCTGACCCTCAAGCCTATGCCCCATGGCCTGTTCTGAGTGATCTTTCAGGAGCTCCCAAGGACCCCCACCTGCCTGCTTTCCCAGTGTGAGCTGTAGTTTCGTGGGGGGGGGGG